TTCCTCTTTCTGTTTGCATTGGTTTGCATTATTCAGGAGTGGACTTTACGTATTATTACATTAGCCTTTCACTTAGCTTGATTAGATCTCCTTGAAGTCCTTTGCAGACTTCTCTGAATTTGACTAAACAAAATCGCTGTCTGCAGACAAGTCTCACTGCTTGCATCCAAGTCTAGCGCATGAATATATAATCACAAAATGAGCAGCAGACTATGCAAAGATGTGTTTTAAATCTGCTGCGCAACTCTGAAACAAAGTAGGCAGTTTGATTAACCAGAAAGTAAACCCCGAATTAAACTTCCAAGTTTGCTGTGGGTCTTCCAGACAGGCCCATTTCTAAATGTGGAACAGTTACAAAAAAAGAGTCAAACTGCTTTAATTACAGTCACTCAAGTCTTACTTTTTTTTCCATGTACAACTAATCAGCATGCCTTTTTTTCAGAGTTATTTGAATTACAGGGGGAAGAAGTTCCACATTTCTTCCTTTTCCGTTTGTTTTAGCTTAGCTATAGGCCCTTGAAATGTTGCTTGTAAATATAATAAGTGAAAATTTGTCAGAGTGGACTTCAGCCTTTAATGAAAGCCCCCACCAATCCTTAGTTCTCAAGTTGCTTGAGGTTGGCCGAGCCCTGAGGCAGCCCTCGTCCCTTCGGAAATGCTCTGGTTTGAGCAGCCTTCCCTCTTCTCCCTCCCCTTCTGCCACAAGAGCTGCTTTTCGACAGCAATGGGCTGCTTTTGTACCTCTCTGGTAGGTGTCTGTGGAGGGACTTTTGTCTGTGGGGAAAGTAGCAGGAGAAGGGGGGATTAATCTGGCTGCTGAGGAGCGAGCCCCCTGGCAAGGGCGGCAAGGGAGGCAGGTGGCACATTTGTCACTCGTAAGGTCTTGGACCTTCATGTTGCCCTGACTGCCAGTGAATGCCAGGACATCTTGGGAGCAGCTGGAAGCGGGACCAGAGTCTCTGTTTATGAGTCACTGTGTGCTGGTGGTGAAATGAACACACAGTCCTAGGTGTAATGATACATGAGATAAGTCAGACGCTTGGTTGGTTTTATAAAATCTTGATTTTTTGTACTTTTTCTCCTGTTCTTTGGAACAACTGTACTCCCCCACCATTCATTTGTACATTCATGGGACAACTCACCTGAGAACAGAAACTCAGTTTAAGCAGCAGATGCCAGGTGATGTGCCCTGTGTTGTCTCCATCAAGTGTGCTCAGCTCTGTTTCTGGCAAAAAGCTGCACCATCTTCAGATGTTTCTTTCTTACTTTGAAAACTGCTCTGCCCCTCCAGCAGGCAGGCTTTAGCAGTGAGCTGTTGAGTGGGTGGGTGGTGTAAAGGCCAGGGTTATTGCAGCTGTCACAGGAAAGCCGGTGTCGAGTTCCTGGGCGGGAAACAAAAGTGCAGGCTGGCCCACCTGTTCCTGGGGGGAGTGCTCGGCTCCTGTGGGTGCTGGGTTGGAAAGAAAGGCGGCTAGTTGCTCTCGGACCGGGGAAGATCAGAAGTAAGGAATGGTTTTTTTTAAGTCTTAGGTAATGGATGGAATATGTAGTTGATGTTCAATGTGATAAATATGGTCCGAGTGAAAATATGAGCAGATGTTTTCATCTGCTAGAAGAAGACTATACTGCTGCATTGAGATAATTGGTAATTGGGCATAAGTGCAAGTATTTTGTGTTCTCTTTTCTTTGCCTTCTATTCTTTTTTGAGACTTGAGCTATTTCTACCCTTTTCCACAGCAGTCAACTCTGCTAGAGATTTATCTCTTTGATTGGTTGGTTGATTTTGGTCCCTCAGCCCAAGAAAGTGAAGATGTACATAAACCTGTTAAGCTGAAGCACGTTTTAGGGAAACAGTTGTGAGAGCTGACAATGGTGAGGTGTGGGCCTGACTCTTGCCAGGAGGGCACGGTGGGCAGTGGGAGCCGGCCAGGCCCAGGGACCCTCCTGGGCCAGAGCCCTGGGTGCAAGCTAGGGCAGAAAAATAGGATGAGGCTGTGGTGGGTGTCTCACCTTGATAAAGCCCCCTGGCATCTCCTCTGGGACACTTTTCCTGAGTTTTTTTTTTCTGTTTGAGGGGTTTCCTTATGTTTTGGTTTCCCCCCCTAGAGTGCTGTTCTGAAATGATCCTGTCCTGCTGGTCAGAGCTCTGTGGGATCCAGGTCCCCAGCAGCCACAGCTGGCCACTTCCTCTGCTCCATGTCTGGCCTTTCTCAGGCCGTTTCTCCTCATCTTCTGTCAGGTGTGTAACTCCTGCTGGCTGGCTGGCTCCTCAGGTGATGCCTTTGCTGCCAGTATGCTGTTACCACACTGTGCCTCCACCCTGCCCTCGAGAGGCCTCCGGAACCTGAGGAGTTTTATTTGTCAGTCTTACTTAGTCCCATCATGCTGCTAATAATTGGTCAAGACAGAAATTTTTCCAAGGGATGTCAGAGGGGTTGGGGAGCCCTGATGTGCTGCTTCCCTGTCTCTCTGCCCTGGCATCAGGAGCTGCTGGTGCCTCTTGCACGTGCTGTGATGTGGTGCCAGGGTGAGCCCTCATCTGACTGCCGTTTATGGAAGCAAACACACTGAAATTAAAATCTCAGTGGATTTTGGTTGAGTGCCAGCCTGTATTGCAGCTGAAAAAGTGGTTAAAATAATTCCTGGGAAGCAATTACTACAAATAAAATAGATTTCAAGATTTGGTTATATGACTTTCTGGAAAACAATGTCAACTGAGGCTCTAATTGGTAAATTATAATTATTTTTTTTTTTAGTATATAGTCATTAATACCAATAATTTGGCTTTTAGGTCCTACCTCAAATACCAGTGAGGCCTGGGTGATGTTTTCAGCACTCTTTTTAGAACTGCACCAATTCAGGATGCATCTCTGCAATGCAGGTTTTCCACATTCTTCACACGAGCCAGGAAAGCCAGTGGAAATCATGGACCAACCTATCTGCTGAAGGCAGGCCTTCAGTTTTTAAGTCAGTACAGTGATACCCCAAATTTGATGTAAAAACACTATTAAAATTGAAATCCCGCACTTCCAGATTTTCATGTTAAGCTTTCCAGGGACCACAGTGCACTTTTTAGATGATGAAAATACTAGTTCGCGTTTGGTTTTTTTTTTTTTCAAAAGGCATGGCGAGGCATTTATGAAAATATTCCTAGACTTAGTAAATTACAAAGTGCAGACATCTGACGTATGAAGTGACTCCACCTGCCTCATTGCTCTTACTAACAGGTCCAAAATAATAATTAAAGTATTTGCTCTTGGCAAGAATTTGCATCGCATTAACTTTTCCCACTCCTCCTCAGAATGCACATTAAAGGCAAGGCTCGAAGCTCGTGCTTTCACTGACTAAATTAGGCTAAATATTTTGTAAAACAGAACCATTTTGTGAGCAGGCTGCATGTGCAGTGTGACTATATATGTCCTCAAATGCTCCCCTTCTGCCTTCTTTCACCCTCCTTTCTCCTCCTGCTATTTTCCCAAAGTTACCTGCCCTCAGGCAGTGGCTGCGGGAGGAGCAGCAGCTCCCATACCTATCTCGAGGGAAGAACTCTCATCTACAGACATGGCAACGAGCCACCATCGTCTCAGGGGTGCGTCCGGTCATGCTGAAGAGTGCAGAGCATCTAAGAGACTTAATGTTTTGGTTTGTTTCCCTGTTTCTGTCCAGGTTTAACAAACATTTTAGGATAGATGAATTCCTGTGCTGCTTATAGCAGCTAGACCTCCTGGGCTGTGTGTTGAAAGCATCTGAAACCTTCAGCCAGGTTCATGAGATATTCTGCTTTTCTGTGGCATCTGGGAGTGCAGAGTTGGTTTTGGCACAACTCTTCAGCGAGCTGCAGCTTGAAAGTCCTCTGAGAGCCCCTACTCTCAAGTCTCCAGGGCAAAGCCAAGGGACAGAGACATTTCCCTCTTGTCCCTGGTCTCCAAATTGGACAGATCCCAGATGTGGTTTTCTGTATTACTTGGCTGAATGCAAAAGCCCCTGCCGTAAAACCATGATGGGGAATAAGAAATTAATGAAGGAACTGTGCTCAGAATATTTCTTGTATGGCATTTTCACATTGCCCGTGGCCAGATGGGCCTGTAACCCATGTCATGAGGAGGGCAGACCACGGGCACGTGGCCACGCAGCTTACCGAGTTACCAGGGAGGGCAGTTTCTGGTTGGCCTTCCCCTCGCCCCCACCGTGTCGCGTGTGAGTTTCAGGACAGGGAACAGCACTGGAATAGGGGTCCTGTTTTGGGAGGAGCCAAGTTTCGTGCTTCCCTGCAAGCCCAGAAATAGGAGCTGCTCCCACAGAAGCTTCCTCCTGGTGAGAATTGCGGCAAGCATGGCTCTGTGGAAACCACAAGTGACCACGGGTGCAGGTGGTTTGGCATCTTCTCCCAGCAGCCAAGGCGTGCCACGTGGCAGGGAAGCCCTTGTCATGTTAGTGAAAGCTTCTGAGCGTTTTCCCTCTTGCCCATCCTTCTCCTTTGTGAAAGGGGTTGTTTGGTTACAAGGTGGCCTTTTCTGCAGCATGTGTTGCTTTGTAAGTGTGTCGTTGGGGTTCTGTGCTGCTGGCCTGGTGGTGGCGGAGGAGCCAGGCCCCATTGCTGTCTCCATCCCCACAGCTGCAACCTTCAGACCTTCACCCCTGAGTTCCCTCACGGGGACTTGGTCCTCTTCTCTTCTTTCTGAGCAGTTGATAATTTGCCAGTTGGCTACAGGAATTCTGCGATGGGGCTGTAGAACTGTCAGGCTCTGGATATCCAGACTAGCTGTGGAGCAGGATAGAACAGCTCTGTCAGTAAAATGAAAGACTGAAGTCTGATGGAATTGGTGTTATTTTGGGGTTAGTTTTTTTCCCTCATTGGTTTGTTTTTTAACATTGAGTCTTGAAGAGTGAAGTTAAGAGATGGGAGAAGGTCATGAAATCAGAGAATCTGGCTCACGGATAATTAAAAGAACTGACTGTACTTCTGAAGCTGAAGTTTAAAAAGAACAGTTCTTGGCAGCTATATGGGTGAACAGCTATTCTATTATTTAAACATTTTGTTTGGTTCTACTACGTTCAGGGTAGAGGCTTTCCGTGACGCAGCATCGGCTATGGAGCAAGAGAAAGAAGTCCTGCTGGAAATGATCCACAACATACAGAACAGCCAGGATATGAGGCACATCAGTGAAGGTGAGAAGCTGCTTTGCCACACTCTTCCAAGCGACCCAAAGTCAAACAAGCCCATGCCTTAGGGGGCAGCTCCCTTTGATTGCTGCTGTTGCAAGGTACAGGCACTGGAGCCAGCTAAGGCTGTTGAGGAGCCATCCATTAGCATGGAATCCTCTTTTTCTTGACTATGGATGGTCTACCATGAATGCTGTGGATGTGAAAGCCCATGCTTGGTTCACTGCTCTATGTTCAAAATCAGGGTTGGTATAGCTCTGCTGAGGAAGAGACGTTCATGATCATAATGATAACTAAATGTAGTTGAAACCTCAACATTTTAATAGTATTGACTACTGGACAGGCCTGAGTGCTATACAGTGTACAGCCTGCAAGAACCTGATGATTAAGATTGTTGTTGTGGTTGTGTGATATATCATAGAATCCTTAAGGCTGGAAAAGAACTCTTAAGATCAAGTCCAGCTGTCAACCCAACTCTACCATGACCACTGAACCATGTCACAAAGTACTATTTCTGCACGTTTTTTGAACCCCTCCAGGGATGGTGACTTCACCACCTCCCTGGGCAGCCTGTTCCAATGTCTCATCACTCTTTCAGTAAAGAAATTCTTTCCAATATCCAATCAGGGTCCTCCCAGACCCCTCACCAGCTTCATTGCCTTTCTATGGCTTTAAAAATATTCTTTAAATCTACGTTTTCTATTAGGCGGTTCAAACTGCTGGTTTAGTGGCTCTTTGAGAGCCTACATGTCAAATACATTGCATCCATATTATAGGAAAATCTTAAGTTTTCAGAAAAGAGAAACCCATTTTTTTTTCATTGCTCTTAATTGCATCTGGTAGTCAGAAATCAGTTTTCTCTTCATGGCCTTATGGGCACTGCCTAAATCTCTCCCTCACAGTGGAACAGAAGGTCCTTAACGTGCCAGTTCTGTTAATGAACAATGTCTCCTGCTAACACTGTATGCTTTGCTTTCATGTGACACCACGAGCATCGGGCCAGCGGTGCAAAAGCATTGCTGACCTTTTTAGCAGAGCTCACTGCCTTATTGCAGGTCAGAAGATGCTCGCCTCTGTGAGATAAGTAGGGCTTGGGCAAATGCAAAAAGCTCATTTCTGGCCCATTCTGGAAATCTTGTGTGTTAAAAAACCCAACCTTGTTTGTTGCAAAGCTGTAGCACTTTGATCGTCTGGATGACGTTGCTTGCACGGGAGGGCGCTCATCCGTAACCTGGAACCCTCCCTTGCTTTTTGTTCAGGTGAGAGAGAAGAACTTAACCTGACGGCCAATCGTCTGATGGGCCGAACCCTCACCGTGGAGGTGTCTGTGGAGACCATCCGGAACGCCCAGCAGCAGGAGTCCCTGCTGCACGCCACCAAGATGATCGATGAAATTGTCAATAAACTCCTCGACGACTTGGACGACGCCAAACTCCGTCTAATGTCGCTCTACGGCGCGTGCACGTCCGACGTGCCGGCGGGACCCATCGACCAGAAATTCCAGTCTGTGGTCATCGGATGTGCCATCGAGGATCAGAAGAAGATCAAAAGGCGGCTAGAGACTCTGCTCAGAAATTTAGAAAATTCTGAAAAGTCCATCACGTTGTTGGAGCACCAGAAATCAGCCGTTCGACAGTCTTGCAACAGCAAACAGGATTAAACCGCCCGCGTGGCCGCTGCTGGCAGAGCGCAGGACGAGCGAGTCTCCACAGAAGGCACACAGAAGCTGAGAAGCAGATCCCCTGTAGGAGCACGCGCATCCACACGCACCCGAGTACTCTCCATGGCGAGGGGTCAGCATTTACTGGGGTTTGGTAGCACTGGTGTTTTCTTCTGGCAATACAGAATGCAATCAGTTCTCCTCTAGAGTCGATGCCGCTCTGTTGCAAATTGTAACTGTGCTTCTGCTCAACTGTCAGACACTGTCAAAATCCAGCCTGTCGCTGTTCTCCCGGTTTTTTTTTTTTTAAACTAAAGTTGTTTTGACCTGTCATGAAACTTCAGCTTTTCTCTGCTATATACATAGTGTGTAAACCAGACTTTTGGGGACAAAAGGCAAATCATGGCAATAAATCAAAAATATCAATAAACTGTAGATGGTATTTTCATAAACGACACACTGTCCTACTCGTTACCATTTATAATTTGAATAATTTGGGACTATTTGTAAGTAGAGCACAGTGTTTTCAAGAGACACATGGATACCTCTGGTTGCTGAGAATGTGAAAGGCAACACTTCCATCCAGAGGTCACAGCCCAAGCTAGAAAGGAGCTCTGGCTCTTGTGCTAGACCCTCCTGCTCAGCACCTGCCCGGTGAGCCATCCTGCCTCCCACCACCCAGTTGTAGTTTGAGGTTGCTGAGTATTTTTTTAAAGAGACACTATAAATGGGAATTGCTACTCCTCCAGCAAATTTGTTTTGCACCATTTGTGAAGCCACAGAGCAAAACAATTGAATCCTCAAGTGGCAAGAGACCATGTTCATGTCTCATGTAGGGTGGTGCTTTTTAAGTTTCATGTTATGCCGGGTGAGTGGTAGGGTTTTTTTTTCCTTCCACTCACTCCAATTTCTGCTTATCATTGCCACGTTCTATGGCTGCGGGCCAAAAAGTTGCCAATTTTAGGGTGAGCCTGGAATTCTACAACTCCTTTGTAGCCTGTCAGTCTTTAAGTATTTCATCAAAGGCTGGCGGTCACCTGAGGGGAGCAGGGGCCCTGTAGCTCAGCCCTTGGCCCGAGTGATGCTGCCAAGTACAGGTTCCACGGTAGCAGTGGGCTGCCTTGAGTGTTCCAGACCCTGCATCACACCTGGGGGCTCTCGTAGCACCATTCCAAGGTGGGAGCTCCTCAGGGCTTCTCCTGCACCACCAAAGCTGTGGAGCACCATGGCTGTACACTCGCTGCCCGTGTGCAAGCCTGCAGCAGGGGAACATGGAGCTTGGAACCCTCAGCAGCTGGGAGGATACAGCCACAGCGTCCTCTCCACAGAAACAGCTCTTCAGGTGGGTGCTTCCAAAACAACCAGTTTCATCTTTGAGATTATGAAAAATTGCTACGAATTTGGTGAGATTAATTCAGCAATTCCACTTATATTATAACAGGTTTCTTTTCATATATTTTAGATTCTTGTGAACTTTAACAAGCAAAGTCAATTTTCTGGCTATTTAACAGCATTAAACCCCTTGACAACAATCTGTGGTGCAGGTTGCTCTCAGAAACCATGCTGAGAAATAGTTAAGTTGAATATGGGTTACTGAATCTTAAAATATTCCTTCAATATGACTTTGGTTTTTTTTTTAAAGGCCATTATAAGGTTACTCAGGCTGAAAGTGTTAAGGGTTGGTTTTGCCGTTTTTTTTTTTTTTTTTCCTTTTTTTAGATGCTTAGAGGTCTGCAATACCCCCTTCACTATCCTCTCCTATGCTTTAAGGTTCCACACTGACATGCTACATCCACTCAAACATCGCACAGACTTCAACAACCTAATTTTGAAATGGGTCATACTGTCCTTAAAGTTTCATTCACACGGTCATACCTGTATGACACAGCAAAAGACATTTTTTTTTTCCCACTGTAGTTTGATACTGATTATCTTAAAGTAACTGAAAATAGCTAGCCAGAGTTGGCATTATACACATAATGGAGATCAAAAAAGGACAGATTAAAGTTTTTTTACTTTTTTGAAGTGCTGTGTTGTCAAAAATCAAAACAGAGTAGGCAAGGCTTGCCAGGTGTAATACGGCCAGGACAAAGAAGGTGCAAGAAAAGCCATTAACTTCTGGTCCCGTTACCTCCTGAGGAACAGAACAGGCTGTGCTCCACTGCTCAGCACGAGCCAGTCTTGGAAATGGGACATCTGAAGTATGAGACATTTTCTCAGGGATGCAGAAGTACCCAGGTGTTCCCAGTGGCCTCGGGCTGCCAGCAGGAGCCACGTGAAGTGGCCACCCACATTCAGAACATGGTGTGGCTGCAGAGCACATAAAACCCCCCACCCAGAGTGTCAAAGCTTCAGCTTCCTCAAGGTCTTCACTTACTTACCTTCTACTTAACTATAGTTAAGCACTTTGCTGACCTAAAAATATGTGAGCATAAAAATATGAGTTGTCTCACATTTCAAGATTTTTTTCTTGCCTAAAACATTGCTAATTAATCGTTCCTGGGGTGTTAAGCAAGCAAATTGTTTTCCTGTAGGCAAAACTGCTCACAAGAGTGAACAGGATATTGCTTCCCAGATTCCTCAGAGACCTGTCATTAAAGAGGCAGACCCAGGTGCTGAGTTGTGTTTTACTAAAAAAGAACAAAACCACACAAAAAAACCACCAACCAACCAGTGACTGCTTACCTATTTCTTTTCTGAAAAATGCACCAGGCATCTTTGATATATTAGTAATATTTTAATGCCATTTCCAGCGTCTACAACCATTCACTTAAACCTTGTGACTGTATTAATCAGACCAATCATGAAAAATAAAATGACCAGGAAGAGCAGAACAGAATCCGTATTTTGTATCCCAGCTGTGAGGTGCAGAAAGCAGAGGCAAGAGCTCAGAACCAGCATTTCTGTCAGACTGGGCTCCCCACATGTGTTCCTTTGAGGGCATCTTAACATGCTGCTGCTTTGGATCCCAGCTGTTGCCACCACATTGACTAGAATCAGGCACATGAGTTTCTCAAGCAGATTTAGGTTGCAGAACTACAGGGTTATAGCAATTTTTTTGAAATGTAATGCGCCAACAATTTCTTATAAGCACAAAAGTAGTGACTGGTATCAGACCAAGCAGTAATCAAATAAAACATGTTTCAGTTGTGTGATACAACTAATGTCACTTAGAACAGCAGAATTAACTTGTAGGGATTTTACAGGAATGGCATACATGGAATATTCAGCTTTAAACATTTATTTTTCCCCTTGAGGACCTATGCTAAGTTATGTTGAATATTTTTTTTTCTAAAAATATATTAGCTTTACTTGAGATCACAACGGTGATAAAACCAGTTAGGTACATTATCTTTTTAACCATTCATCTTTATCTTTGCGGTGAGAACGGTATTTATCCTGGTCCAGATTAATTTTTACTTTTTTTGGAGCAACTGCAGTTGCTTCTGCTGTACCACATTCATCTTGGTAAGAGAACAAACTCGCTCCACAAATTATTTATCAGTATTACCCTACTACTAGAAACCTGAGAATGAGTCTAGTTCACTACTAGAACTCACCTGGCTTGAGACAACTCCTACAGACAACTTCTTCAGCATGGAACTGTTTGAAAGTTTGTTCTAATACAGCACCTTTCATCTTAAATCTCAGCATTGCTGCCTTTGTTTTTTTCTTCTATAGCTTTGATTACCTGCGTGGATGCCACACTGAACAGAGGAAAGTATTTTCTTCTGCCCATCCTATTCAAGCTTGGAAAAGCTGTGCACAACTGTTGCTCCCTACAAAAAGTCAGCAAGGTAGCTGTGATGAAATCAAGTTGTTTGGACCATGTTTGCTGTCTGATCTACCTACAGTTAGTGTTCAGGTACCGCCAGCCTCAGCCAGAGGTCTATGGCTGCCTCTAGAGGAGCAGCCAGGGCTGAGGTGTGGTCACTGGCATCCAAGAATCCCGGTTATTGGTTTGCCGTGTGACCGAATGCCCACGAGAGGGTTCCTCAGTGCCAATAATTAATTCTGTAATTAATTAGCACGTGTTCACTGAGCAGTATGCACATGCCCCCCACGTATCCTCTGGGCAGCAGCACCATGTGTTCAGCTGCTCAAGTCCCTCTAGTATCATGTACATCTACGGAAGTGATGCAAAGGAAAGCAACGGGTCAGACAGGCTGCAGCCCAGGAACAGAGAAATTAACAGAAGTTCTAGTAAAGCATAAAAAAAGGAAATAGGAAATCAGGCTGACAATATGGTAATCCAGGCATTTTGACTGAAAAAGTGCAGCCTTAGGACACACTGAAAACAAGAAAGCTCTAAAATTGTCCGCATGGGAATGTTTAATTTTATTTTTTTTTTAATTAACCACACAAACACAAGAACCTTATTGTGATCAGCCTTACAACTCTGAGGTTTGTTATTTCCAGTTGGAAACACCCCCAGCATCGCGGCGTTGCCCCGAACGCTGCCGCACTCACTGGAGGACAGCCCATCACCCCTTTCGCCCCGGCCTCACAGCTGCTGGAGCTTCCTGCTGGTAGCAGCCTCAGCAGCTACAAGCAAAGAGTTGTGGCTAGAGTCAGGTAATAACAGCCAACGAGCTATTCGAGAGGTACTGACAGATGAAGCAGGAGTGCAATTAGCTTGATCTTGCAGAACAAAACTGTGCCTCATGGTAGGAACATCTGTTGCTCCTAAGCCAGGATGCTATACTGCTGTGGGTGTAACTGGAGCATCTCTCACAGAAGGAAAGACTGAGAGACCAGGGGCTGTTCAGCATGGAGAAGACTGAGAGATGAGCTTATCAGTGCTCATAAATACCTACAGGACAGGTGTCAAGAGGATGGGGCCAGTCTCTTTTTAGTGGTGCTTAGTGATAGAACAAGTGGCAACAGGCTCAAATTGGGACACAGGAAGTTCCAGCTCATCATCAGGAAAAACTTCTTTACTTTGAGGTTGGTGGAGCCCTGGACCAGGCTGCCCAGAGAGGTTGTGGAGTCTCCTTCTCTGGAGACTTTCAAAACCCACCTGGCTGCGATCCTGCGCAACCTGATCAGGGTGAACCTGTTTTATCAGGGTGGTTGGACTAGATAATCTCCAGAGATCCCTTCCAACTCCTGCCATTCTGTGACTCTGTACTAGAGCCACATCCTCCCCCACCATGCAGTCACAGAGAAGGACGTTTTTATTACCAGCTCTGCGCCCGTAGGTTTTGGTAACTAAACCGTACGGTATTTTAACGAGAATGCTTTGAGTGGAGAATGGGGCAATGTTTGTAAGAAGAAATACTCACAAGGGACAATGCAAGCGCTAAATGTTTAGGCACAACTCTTCATCCAAAAGGCAAAAGTTACTCCCACTGAAGAGTGATGTGAATACCCAAGGATTCCTGCAATATCAAGGTCATCTGGTTTACATCTACACACTAACTCCAGTAGAATAAAAAAATAAGTTCTTGAGCAGCATACACACAGAGTACTTTCCAGAAAAATGCTGATTTGGTCAGTCTCCACCTCAGATGTATTGGAGAACACGCACTGCAGAGTCACAACAAAGAGCAGCCACTGGAGATTTAAGATGGGAATGAAATGAGCACTCACTGTCACCCGATGCTGCAAATATATATTCCTACATTAAAGTATATGTATTAAATTTCAATACTTCCTAAATTTATCAGGTCTGTCAAGTCTCCACATATGAACATTTCTACTGAGTTTTGAGTCTTTACAACAGTGGTTTATAATGACAGACCTTGAATACAAACGGCTTATGTCATAGTACAATGTCTACGGTATAATGTAACAGTACAAATGGTCATTATAGGTAATAAAGACTTATTTTTCAGTACTCTGTACAAAGTCAAACAAGGCAAAAAAGATGTTTCAGACACTTGGTGGTTTTTCTTTTTCAGGAAAAATGAATTAAAAAAACCCACAAAACCAGCAGGCAGACAACAAAATGTAAAAGTTCCCATATTAAAAACCATTCTTAAAACCCTTCCTGCATACATTCCATCCTACATCCTGAAGCTGTAAGGTGGCCCCGTGACGTACAGTCGTAGGTCTTACACTAAGTACCTTTACCTCTTAAACTGCTAAGACAGATAGGGCTCGACTCCGCTTACACACACATATGTACAGTGATTAAATGCACTTGTTAAAAAAGAAAGGCCTTTGTCCGAGGGAAAATAGAGGAAACATTATGGTGAGGAACACACGGTTTTGCTGCAATAGCCAAGGGGACCGAGTGCCCTGGTGGCCGCCTTCTTGCCAGCAACAGGAGAGCTCTAACAGCTTGTCAAAGACACACCTGTACTCTAGAAAGCCTGATAAAGTAAACATCAAATAAAGAGTTCAGAGATCTTTAGTGTTTGTCCACAACTTGCCACCCACCTCTCTCCCTGCAGACAGTGGGGAAAAGAGTCCGTTTCAGTTCTCGTACTCATTGACTTAGAAACAAAGTCAGTCAAGCTTCCTCTGTGAATTCACACAGTGAAAAGTCCTTCCTCCAAAAAATATACAGGATCACTCAACTCATTTTCATTCTCATACACCATTTAAAAAACTATTAAAACTCTGGATTTTTTCAAGCAGCATATTTTGCATTCATCACTGGCAGGTTCGCTGTAGAAATCCCAGAAAATTAAAATTATATCATAGCATACAAAAACATGTAAACAAAATGGATATTTTTTTTAAAGGCATGCATGTTCTTGAAGAGGATTAAAAAGTGTTTTTGGTAAATAAAAGATACTTGCTTAGCATTTTTAAAAGCACCTTAGTGATTTAGAAGCCTAAGTCCAAATAACTTTAATTTAGATTTGGGCTCCTAAACATCTAAATAAATTCTGTAAAATTACTTAAGCTCTTTGAGAATTTTTTGCCATGTCTCTGATCTTGCAGAATTAGATTTTCTGTAACCAGCAGCTGACTTTGAGACAACATCCAAGAACGTCTCATTCACGTAATTCAGTCGTCAGCTGCAGTTTTTTGGATCCTCTACAACTTAAGTTTATGGTACCTCAGAAAAATTTTTCAAAACAAGAGAAATATTCTGTGACACCACCCTGCAAGTTCCTTTTTTTATAGACAACACAGGGTGCAACAATCAAACTGGAACAGGACTACGACTGCATGTTCCTTCTGACTAGGTATTAGTGTCAAAGACTGTGTTATTTGTTCAAATTGTTAAGACTGAGAAAAACAAACTTACAATAACATCCTTTGCACAGCATTAGGTAAAAAGGAACATTTTTGGCACCATACATTTTAATATCCAAGCTTTCAGGCCCAAAGTATAGCAAGTTAGATGTACACGGTGGCAGCTGGGAAAGCTTCATCTGAAATGCAACAATTTTAAAGGAGAAATTTTTTTTTAGAAGATGCTATTTTGTGATCATTACCTGATCTCCAAGGAAGATACGCACTGGAATTTAGCCTAAATATTCATACCAGATGTTTACATATATACCTAGCACTCATATCCATATTAACATAGTCAGGCATAAAACGTAGTTTCTTCGTTTTGCTCTTTATTTACCTTCTCAGTGCTCTGACTAATTTTAACATTTCCTTTGGAATTTAGTTGCAAAGTTGCTATTTTACCTTGGGCCGTAGCGTTACAGTCCGTACCTATATTTGTGAGTATTATCCTTACATTAAATGTGCTTTGCAATTCAGCAATACCTAGTTCATAGCTCTGTAAATAATTCCTCGAAAAAGGAGAAGCTTTTTACAAAGTGCACGACGGGGCAGCCACGCTTCTGTGTTTTGCCACCAGGTGTCTCACTCCACACACCAAAACCCTCGGCATCAGCCAAGTTTACATAAACCCACCTCTATCAAGGATCCCATAGGCACACGATTTGCTAAAGCACTGGTAAAAATACCTCTACAGCTGGCTTTATTCTGTACTCAATCGAACAACTTCATCCAATTCACTGGGTTGGGTTTTCTTCCTCCAAAGGTGGTCTAAGGTATGCTGCAGTTGCTAAAAGGGATTCTGTTTTTCTTGGTCCTCTGTTTGTTTGGTCTAAGGTTGATGACATCGCCACCATTAAGAGTGCTAGAATTTTGGTTGGAGTGGCTTCCACCAGCTGTATTAAAAACACCTACAGAATTTAAAGACAAGAAAAATATTTGTATTTCTTTACTTCCTGCAGCATAATGCATGAACACTGAAGACGCAGTACTTACTAAGGCACAGCAGAGCACCTCAAATGCACACTCTAGTTTTTAAAGGCTTTATCCATTTCTGGGTCAATTTTGCAGCTAAATTTGAAGTAGAGCCAGCTGGAATTACTAGCCTGGCAGTACTTAAAACTAGTATACATCTGTGTAATTGAATGGCAGCACATGCACTCATCTGTGCATGGGTATACACTAATTGCACGGTAAATAAGTTATGGTTAGTTGAGTAATATCATAAAAGAAAATCATGGCAATTTTAAAGTTAGAAACTTTGCTGAGATAAAGGTTAGGAAAAAGCCTGAACAAAGGAGTGCTTTAAGGAAAATAAATTAACTGACTCAGAAATACCTGAAAGAAGTGGTACAGAAGTTCAGTGTTCCCTTACAAAAGGCAGTCTACAAAGCCCTCCTGATTTTATGCCAGATTCTGTCACCATCTCTTGTAAATCTGCACCAAGATGAGTAGCACTAATACTAGTTACATTGAAAATCCCAACAAGCATCCTTTCTCAAGTCCTTACACAATGTTTAAAGGAATTAATAAAATGGTACTTGCCAAACATTAGCCACAAACTTGAGTACGTGAGTTTGGCAGTCTTGTAACTTTAAAGAGTCACAAAGTTATTTCACAGAAGGAAAGGAGACAATAAGACCTAAGATAGGAAGGTAATAATTAGACCTGATTCATTCACCTTGTACTAACTCCATGAGGAAACGGATGAGACCGTAAGCTTTGATGGCACAAAATACTGTTCCTGGGTTTTTACTGCAGTATACGTACCTATCTTGTTACTGCTTTTATGAACGACTTCTGGGTCTTCAGCTGTTTGTTGCTTGAGCCTTTGAAGATACTTATCAGCCAAATACTTAAAAACTGGAATGTTAAAAAAAGGTACATCAGTGCATGCTTAAAAATAATCTTCCTATCAATAATACCTTTGTGTGAAAGCTTTGCATGCTAAGAGAAGTGCATTTGGCAGCAGAGGTGAAGCAGGAGCTGGTAAGTGCTACCCCCTCAGCAGGTCTGTGTTATTCCTTAGAATAACAGCAGTCATGTAAAGACAGTCCATTAATAAAACCTGTCAGTGATGTTTTTCTAATTAATTAATGCTGCCCTCATTTGTATCAGGGTACAAAAAAATCTACCGAGGATTCTGGAAAAATATACAAATATAGGAGAATTTTCAAAACCTACATGTGTTACAGTTATTTAATTTGTAAATAATAATTAATCTGAAGATGATACAGAAACATTTTACATTTTCTCTTGAAGTTTTTTTCCAAGGTAATGTTAACAGAGAAGAAACAATTAGCTTACTATTAAGTTTGCTAGATTAAAGAAAAAAATAAAGTTACCAGAGACTATAATTCTTTATTATTCAAACCTACCTGGCTGAATTTTATAACAGTACTTTTATAAAATTAAATATATGCATTAAAAAGCGAGACTTGGGAAATAGTACAGTATCAGCAGCAGACAAAAGGCTGCAAGAGATCCAATCTTTTAATGCACTTTATGTAAATAAACCGTGAAATAATTATATCAATTATTTACTAACGACTACAAAATAATCTGTTCAACAATTTGTACCCTGTAATAATTGAATTCCTACACAGATTTTTTTTTTTAACAGGTCAGTGCTTACTGACAGTGGCTGGCACTTCTGTACAGTAAAGCTAGGTGCTGTTTGTGGAAGAGCAAGGAAAGCTGTATGCAAAACCATGGGCCCAGCACTCCGACACCAAGCAATTCCAGCTGTGTTTCAAGTGTGCTGCTACGAAATACAGAAAGGACTGCCAAGAGCAGGCAGCAACAGGGGAAGCAGCAGCTCAGCTCTGAGCCAGAGCTGCCCAGTGCCACCAGCAGCAGGGGCAGGGCAGTACCTTCCGTCACGTTGAGGTCTTCCTTCACGGATGCTCGGTAGAACCTTAATTTTAGCTTTTTGGCCAGTGCTTCTGCCTCTTCGCTGCATGACAGAGGAAGACTTTGTAAATACTAATCTGTATTATTTGTCAGCAGTTATGCTTATAGACAAGATGCTTTGTAATAAATGACACATGGCGAGGTGGGTTAAGGAACTCAGTCAAAAAATACCCCATCCTTAATTTCTTTATGACACCTCCACTATAAAAAGAGTATCTTTTGCATGCAGTTTCTTTGTGACCAGAAGTAATTGCTTTTCAAGGTATTAACTTCATTAACTAAAATTTCCCAAGGGTTCAAAGACAAGTGTCAGTGAAACCAAAAGGAAGGAGGCTGTAATTAACACCAGAATCAGAAAAATTACCACTGGGAAGTCAAAACAACAACAACAACAACAAAATAACCCTTATGTATATTTTAATGAAGCAGTAGACTATACAATCAGATGAACACAGAGATGAAATCAAGAGTTACTTTTTTTCTGTGAAGTGAAAGAGAACTTGTGCAAAATTTTAAGGAAAAGTTGAGGAACCTTATAAAAGTTCCACCAGGGGAAATCATTTCATCAGAAAGAGGACGTTTACTGAGGCAGAGGGAGTATTCTGAGAACAAAGCCTAAGCGACATACCATGAATAAAGGAGGAGTTTAAATGAAATTTTTCTTTTCCTGTGAAAAATCCTCAGTATTCTTTGCAGAGGGAGCAGAAGCTGATTTATGTCATCAATGACAGCAAACAGAGAACAAAAAGCCAGTGCAAGAAACAACAAAAAGAAGAAATAATTTAATCTCTCAGTAAGATGGTAGAAATGAAGAAGAGAATGATCAAACTCATCATGCTGTATTTTCTACATGATCTGCTGTGGTAAATGAAAGGTAGCATTTGTTAAGCTGATTTTATGGCAAGAATGAAATCGGTGACATATACAAAAGCAGAATGAACGGACAGTAAAATCTGTAAAGAAAAACATAGTGAAGAATGATTGACACCATGCAGTTTAAGAATATTACCAGCTATGGATTTCTACAGAGTTATATTTTCATTAAAATGAGCAACAAAAAACAAACACAAGTGAAGCAAAGAATATTAAGATACTTCTTCAAACAACCTGTTTAATAGTGCTTCATTTCAGCAAGTATTCACAAGCCAAATTAGACAACATAACTTCATTGCTGCACTGCAACTATAAATTTTAACAGGAGAGAAAATTTCCAGTTTTAGAATCTCTGATTATTGGAAAAAAACAAAAACAAAAAAAAAAAAAACCCCAAAACATATCATGGCACAAACTCTTCATGTTATTCCTCTGTATTTCTTTGGTTGACACCTCAGAAGGCAGCATGAAGGGAACAGACAGCTCCTAGCTCTGCTAGCACATCTGCCCAAGTAACTACAGTTATGCAGCGACACCCATCACCTTCTAGGGCACCCTTTGATGTAGGACAGCTCTGACAACCTGGATTTCCCAAGTCTTCACAAGAAACTCCCATAATTGTGTTTTTTTTATAAACGTGCATATACAAGGGACGGACATATATTGTTTTTTAAAAAAAGCAAGATAAAGCTCTTACTTCTTTATACAAGAGTCATCAAGAAGATCGATCTTATTCTGCACAAGAACCGTGGGAATGTCTCCAACTTCACTTACAACCTTTTCCTTCCAGGTAGGGATGGCTTTGAAAGACTCTCTGTCAGTTGTAGAAAACACAAGAACACAAGCCTGGGCTCCTAAAAATATACAGATCAATTACAGATATAAATAAATACAGATCAACCAACATACATTAAGAAAAAGAAGAAAAACTTGTTTCAAATACAAGGGATTTTCCAAGTTTCTCCCATAAAAGTGCACTTTCATTGACAGCTTGCATCAAACTAATGGTCATAAATTTCCCAAATGAAAATAGTTTGCTGTATTGTATTGATGGTTATATTGATTCTTCATCACTATGGGCCTGTTACCTTTCAAGCTATCTCCAGCATAGCGCACATAGGTAGGGGAAAGCAATAGGAGGGGATGTGGAAGGGCTGGAAGAAGGGCAAGGGAGGTTTGTTTCTTGCTCACTGGTTTCCCGAGAGGAACAGAGGCCAGAAGGTAAGTACTTTTCCATATGCAGTATCTGTAAATCTTATTCTTTAAATGTTATTCTTCATGCTACAGTAATTTGGGTTTTGAAAAGCAGAAATTTTTATGTTTTCAGAGAAAGTTGTGATTATTTCACTTCGTAGCTTTTTGTAGAAAATGAGTGTATTTTCAACTCATACTCATTCTGTCACAGCACTATGATAAATTGTACAAAAGATTTTGTATAATTTTTGTTATGGTTTTGTAACAGCCTCATCAAAGAATAGTTAAAACCTATGGACACTGAGAAGGTACTTCAACACTTGAAAGTGAGTGGTCTTCAGACTGTCTAGTAGGCCTCTGTTATTCTCAGCAAACTTCTTCTCTCTGCACATAAACACACAGAGAAACACTTCATTATGTTTAGGCCTTTACTGTGCCTTTCGGGTGCATCAAGAAGAGTGTGACCAGCAGGTTGAGGGAGGTTCTCCTCCTCCTCTAGTCTGCCCTAGTGAGGCCACATCTGGAATACTGTGTCCAGTTCTGGGCTCCCCATTTCTGAGGAGACAGAGAACTACTGGAGAGAGTCCAGCCAAGGGCTGTGCTGATGATTAAGGGACTGGAGCATCTCTCTTTTGTGAGGAAAGGCTGAGAGACCTGGCGCTGTTTAGCCTGGAGAAGACTGAGAAGGGATCTTATCAATGCTCATAAATATCTCAAGGGCAGGTGTCAAGAGGATGGGGCCATGCTCTTTTCAGTGATAGGACAAGGGGCAACAGGCTCAAACTGGGACACAGGATGTTACACCTAAACATCAGGAAAAACTCCTATACTGTGAGGGTGTTGGAGCACTGGAACAGGCTGCCCAGAGAGGTTGTGGAGTCTCCTTCTCTGGAGACTTTCAAAGCCTGTCTGGACATGTTCCTGTGCAACCTGCTCTAGGTGACCCTGCTTTAGCAGGGAGATTGGACTAGGTGATCACTAGAGGCCCCTTCCAACTCCTACTTGTCTGTGATTCTGTGAATATGCTTGATATTTAGTAACAGAGTAAAAGGAATGGATAGCTAATGTCTTTGAGACTCCAGTGTTACCGTGTGGCAAATATCCCAATCCAGTTACATATAGCATGAATGATTATTTAATCAGTACGAATCTTCTTTTATCTGCAAGTTTCACCAAGTATCCCCCATTCCTGCATTCTGTTTGTATTTCTTTGATACAAAACACTCCAGTTCTTTTATTAGGTTTCCTTTTATTTATCATTTCAAAGGCAAATTCAGTCTATCTTTACTAAAGTTTTCCTGTGCTCTTTAACATGCCATTAAGACCCTGCTGGTATGATTTTATGCAGAATAATAAGCATGGCCCTCAGAATTTCAAATCAAGCTCTCCCAATAAAACAGTAGCAATGAAGTCTTCCATAATTTTCCCTATTACTTGTGTTCTAAAATTTGGCTTGTTTTCCCTGATGTCCACACCATAGTCCAATGTGATTCTTCTTATGCAATTCCACTTAGAATTCTGTGAGATAAGTCTAAAGCTAATTATTCTTTCCAAAGCAGGTTACTTTGCATTTGTCAATGCTCAATTTAACCTATCAACATGCAGCCTAGCTTAATAAAGCCTCTCAAGTTCTTCGCTCTCCTGGAGATGAGAGCGTTCATTAAAAGACTCTCACCATCTCTAAACACCAACTAGATCAGTTTTAGAACTAAGAAATCCCTTGTGAAGTTTGCACTCTAAGTTTGCACACTTTTACTTCATCTCTCTCCTTCCACCCATTCCTTCCAAATGCTAAAGCATTGGTAATATTAAGTTTAGAGGGAAAAGTCCTAGCATGTGGTAAGTAAAAAGGGGGTGACCTACAACATCAGGCCTCATTGCTCCATTTAGATATAACACAGGTAGAATACAGTGGACAGGGAAAGTAAAAATAACTCAGCTTGGCCATATTGATTTTTAAAGAATTATATGGACAGGCTCTCATTAGAAATCAAACTGAAGTATTTTTGAACACCTTCAAGATTCTGACATTTAAAGGTTTTCATCAGAAAGTTAACAAACAACCATGAACAGAAGTGTCCTTCCACATAAAGAGATAAACTTTTTATCAATGATGACAAAAAGAAAGAAGATGAACAGGATTTAGGCATTGAAACACATTTCTGTACACAGTGACTGACAGCATTCAGGAGAGTAACATTATCATCTCTCTCATCCACTTCAGAGTCCTACACCACCTCTGTCATAAAGCACATTGTGCACAACAAAGGCACAGGACAGTGTCAGACAGGAACACAAGAGCTAAAACCAGGATGTTTTCAATGCATATTTTAAATCAATGTTCTGTTGTAAGAAGCTGTTTCGTAAAGCTACTTTAAAGTACTGAAGAAAAGACATTGGGTTTTTTGCATGCACTACTGCTTTCATAACCCCTGTATTTTAAAAAGGTTCCAACTGGTTGCAGGATCACTGGTATGACACCCATACGTAGACTAATTCAGAGAAAAACTTAACACAGTAGTGCTAGCACCCCTCTTTGTTTCAAGTAGAAGGTAAGCTTTGCAGCTCAGTAGGCCTCAAAGATCTTCAGTTTACCTTGTCCTCAGAGATTCCATGATGAGGAATTTTCTCTTTTAAGAATGGTACAAACGCTATAGAATAGAAAACATATAAAGAAGTTCCTTGCCATGAGTGGACTCACACAGGGCTTTATACTTGGCACATGTTCATTTCACCCTTATGTTCTTTGCTTCAGCTTTCTCATGCTATGACAGAAAATATGCATTTACTACAAAATTTGTGGTGCCTTCAACCTTGAACTGAGACGAAACGCACGGTCAAATGATATCATCGTGCAGAAGTTCTTGTTTATTGTTAATGTTCTAACTGCTGTGGATATTGCCGGGCTTTGACAAGCTTAGCAGGGTTTCAGGTCTCACCAGCAGAGCCCAAAGGAGGGCTGCCTTGCTCCAAACTGGACCAGAACAGTCTTGCAGTACTCCCATTACCATCGTTACTACAACCCAACGCAGTTCGCAAGTGCAAGCTAGAACAAGGTGCTGAAGGCTTGAGAACTCCGAGGTCTAACTATTGTGCAACAAAATGAGGAGCCTGAGAATTTGACTGCTCAGCAACTGCTAACAGACTAACGAGCAAGATGAGTTTTCCATCAAAAACCTAACAAGGGTCTACTCAAGATACCAGCAGCAGTGGATGGAGGAAGGTGCATGCACAAACACTGCCTGGAGAAACACCTGTAACACGGACAGCAGATACGGTGCTGCTGATGGCAGCCCCTTGAGTGTGTGCTTGGCGTGCAAATGAAGTTCCTAGCCAATTAGAAAATGTGTGACTTCCATCAGATAGAAACTGGTAAGGTGCATGATACAGTATAAAAAAGAAATTATGAAATGCATACAGAGCTTCCTTCACCCGTTGAATTTGGGGTGCTGGACTCCTTGCATTGTATGATCACGGACATGCAGCTACAGCAGCTGCACATGTTCACCTGTACATAGAAAACCACACAGCATATCCACTGTCACCTCCAATGCTGTTTATCTGCAAGGCTGAATGAATTTGGTCCCTGGACAAGAAGGGCTCAGAAGCATTCCTAGCGTGGCCCATGGATGTACAGCTGATCCCTGAAGAACTGACAACACACAAGGTTCCAGCAGAGTACCTAAGCCCCAGTGTTATGACAGTGGTCAAGTGTCCTCTGGGAGAGGCACACCCTGAAGTAACAGCCAGCATATATCTCACCTACCTTAGAGGCATCCTCCCCTTATCAGCAATAACTGGTACTGAAATCCTTGCATTTCCAAAGTAAGCCTGAACTTTTGCTTCTGTAATACTGTACTTGCAGACCTGATGCTAAACCAAAATTGCATTCCAGGCTTTTATAATTTCCCTTGTCCCTCATAAGCCAAAGTCTAGTGCAGAGCAGTCAGTGCATCTAATAGCTTGAACTGTTAATATATCCATTACACTGTCTACAATATATATCCATGGGATGATTATGTCCCATTTCACAGCAGCCTCCTCAGTGTAAAAACCTTAAAAGGCAGAGATCTAACTGCCCTATGCTGGGCATGAGTCATGAGCAAGACTTCAAGATACTCAAGCTTATGTGGTAAGTGAGACCAGAAGTGTACTTTAAAGTTCTTCTGAACACTCTGAATTTTAGCATATCAGTGCCAGTAATTAAAAGAGAAAGACTTTGGCTTGGAACAACTGAGGAGAGTAAAGCATACAAGAGAACTGAAGGCCTGGAGAGTTAAAAGGAAGCTCCAAGAGAATCAACTACTACCTTCTAAAATTCATATGCTCAACCTGTCAGCTGTAGATTCCTCTCTTTCCACATGTGAATAAAGAGAAATAGGAAAAGAAATACCTTTCTCTAAAGAAATGTTAATCACCAATTATGAGTGACAACCAGAAATATTACAAAAACACCCCAAGACCTATTAATTGCCAAAACCAATAATGAAACATAAAAAGGTCAAAGGACTGTACTACCCTGAAATAGTAATGCATAACTGCTATTTTTTCTAAATGAGGTAATTTTTCTAAGGTTTTACACTATAGGGATGTATTTTTCCCAGCCATCAGGTAACTGGTTTGAAAAGAACTGAACAACGGAACCTTTGCCAAGTCATTCTTGTCTCTCAAGCTGAAAAACAAAAAGGGAAGATTTTCACAACCACTGTGTCATTATATGCAAAGAAAGCCAAAGTATGCAATTTGTAACTGGCCAAACAGACAACCCACCTGCATATGACTGAATAATAGAGTTTCTATTTTATGAAGTAAATACATTTTCCTTATTACGCCTTTGTGTTGACATCTTAAAGGCAATCTGCACTGGCAAGAGAACTGTTGGTATGTATTGTAGCCTTGTAAACTCTTTCTAGGATGACTGATGGATTTTTCTTCCCTTGGATTAATTGCTAAATGCCTCAAGACAGTTTTGTGAATATTTACAAATATATGTCTTACAGAAGTAAAAAAACACAGGGAAAAACATAATTTTGCTTTTGACTGTCTTCATGGCACACTTTGTGGATTTTTTGTGCAAGTATCTGTCTCATTTTGTTCTATGTTTTTTTAACGAGCCCTACAGAGCGACCTGTAAAAAGTGACACTTAATGAAGGCAAAGATTACATGAAGGGGAAAAACATTTTAGAACTGAAAAAGGTCAACTACAAATGCTTTGCACACATATGAAATAAATATCATTCTTAGCACAGCGATAGGAAAATATCTCAAAAGAGATGTGCCGATCAAAAAAAACCCCAGAACCGCCAAAGAACAAGTTTGGTATTTTCACCTCTGTAGTAGGCCTTAGTTATCGCATCGAATTCCTCTTGGCCCGCCGTGTCCCACAACATCAGCCTGACGTCCTCGTCGTTAACTCTGCAATAAATGGCAGGGGTTGGTAACCAGGACGAGACACCGGCAATTCAGAACAACTGACGTGGAAATATTTCTACGGCTACATTATAAGAGTAATTCAGTTCAAATTTAATTTTACTGAGATATAATATAGGTAATGGTTGACCTCTGTAACATGCTATAGCAGTAGTCCCTCAATTACATTGCGTGCTTTTTTCCTGACAACCCATACTACATTTTCCTCTTCCTTTCCTCCTCTTCCTGTACACCTCCCTGTATTAGGAAAAAATAACACAGACTTCAAAACTTAGGTGCCTGAATAATGGTCCTTTTGAAGATAATCAGCTTAAAAAATTTATAAAATTTTCTTACTTGTCATTACTGTAGTATTTTCCATTCTATCAAACATAATTGGGGATTATCTATAGCATATTTAACTTTTTTTTTTCCACAGCCATTTTAATCTATATTAGCTAATAAATTTGTATAATCGTCTTATCATAAGCACCTCCATTCCCTCCATAATTAAAAAGAAATTAAAATTAGCAGGTGGCAGAATACAAAGGAAACTTGTCAAAAAGCTTACCTCTTAGACAGAGGTTCCAAATTCTATTTTGCCTTTGATTTATAATTCTAAATCTTGTACAGAAAATAGAGTGACAACATTTTAGCCCATTGGGCAAGACAGAAAACATCTCCTTTTACTGTGCTTTGAAACAGCAGACCTTGTTTCAAGCCTTTGTCAAAAAATTGATCACAACAGAACAAAGAACTAGAGGGAAAGGTAAAAATCAATAGTATGGGATCTGTTTAATACATACTGAATTTGTCTTTCCAGGAAATCTACACCAATTGTTTTCTTGTAGTCTTTTGTAAAAATCCCCTTGCAATATCGCTGAATCATACTGGACTTCCCAACAGCTCCATTTCCTACTACCACCACCTTGATGGCCACCTCCATATCTTCTTCCAACATCTTCACAGTCCAAGCGATTCTCTAGCTTAGCCAGGAAACTACTGATTCTGTAAACAAAGTAAATAGCTGTGTTCACAAAAGTGCTGCGCATAGAAAGTAACAGGAAATAAAAGCACACACTGGAAATATAATCACACACAAATAGCGTATAATTTATTTTCAGCTCTGCCACAGACCGCCTAAGTGACCTCAGACATGTTACTTAGCAGTCTGTACTTTGATTTGCGACTTAGTAGTTGGAAATTAATATGAATGTTCATAAATATGTTTCCACTACATAAATGTATCATCATAGGTTTATTATGTTCCAGATGCTCCACTGCTAACACATACAAGATGTTCAGCTGATCAACCTAGCACACAAGTGTGAAGTAACTTCAACTTCAGCCACTGTTCTTTTACAACCAGTTCAGATATCGTCACCTAACACCAACATTGATGCTTTGAAGACATAAACCTATATAATTTTGCTCTTTTACCTCTTATGAATTTACCTAAATTTGTCTTTCTAAGAAAGCAAATAAAAATAATAATAAAATAAATCTCCAGGCCCTTATTAATTTAATTTTTGGCATGTGAATCAAAACACTAGGTGTAGAAATGCTACTCAGTAATTCTGAAGAGAATGCAGTTTCCAAAGTCCTTTTTCTAACAAGAAAATTAAAAATCCACTGTCCTAGAGCATTTTTTTTGAGATTTAGAGAATTTATTTTATCAATATGCAATACACACCTTATTTTATATTTTTAAAGGCTGTACCATCACTATCTGATGTGACTGTAACCTGACATCACACGGCCGCTGCAGGGGAGCCACCTAACTTCTCTGAGTTACTTTTGCCCATGTTCACCGTACATTAACCAGAGACAAAACCAAGCTCCTGAAGCACACGGACAAAGTTCACAGCGCCAACGCTTGCAGCAGACAGAGATATTTGCATATAAACTAAAAAAGCAACCAATAAATTATAGCGGTTTACTGTGAAGATACAGCATTCCAAGCTTTGGTGTTCTTTTTTGGTTTGGTTTGGGTTTTTTTGTTTGTTTTAAATGAGGAAGGGATGCGGGCGCACACAGAAGCGACGTTGCCTGCACGTTTTGCTGTGCCGGGAGAGCATCACTGTAACACTTGGCATCTGCAGGGCGGCAAATCTCCTCCCAAAAGGCAAGTAACCCTCCCTTCGCAGGAGGGGAGATGCCCCTGTTCTAAAGGCTTTGCCCCCGGCCACACACGCCGCGCGAGCTGGGCGAGCTGGGCTACCTGCCCCACGCCC